GGGGGGGTGGACTGCTGGGGTCTGAGAAGGTCCAGAGAAATAGAAAGGTTGAACCTGAGCCCTGGGGTCAGGCAGCCAGGTTCAAATCCCAGTTTGCCACTCACTAGCACTGGGACCTGGGCAAGGTAATTTGGATTTTTAAAAAGTTTTATTAATATATCTTTATTGATTTCAGAGAGAGGAAGGGAGAGGGAGAGAGAGAGAGAGAGAGAGAAACATCAACGATGAGAATTATTGATCAACTGCCTCCTGCACGCCCCTTGCTGGGGAATCGAGCCTGCAACCCGGGCATGTGCCCCAAGCGGGAATCGAACTGCGATCTCCTAGATCCTAGGTCAGTGCTCAACTGCTGAGCCACGCCCAGCTGGGCAGGGTACTTTGGCTTTTTATTCCTCACTTTCCTCACTGGAAAATGGAAATGATATTACCTGCCCTAAGGTTGACAGTGAGATTTTCATGAAATAACAAGATGCCCAGGGCCCGGCACATGGAAATGCTCACTCAGTGCTGCTGGTTATTATTTGTTCGTTCACTTTTGGTTGGTGTGACTGAGTGGGGAGAAGAAGTGGCTTTTGAGTGAAGCTTCTCTGATAATCTGCCCAGGCTCCGAGGGCTTGGGGATGACCTGGGAGTAATCTGGAAGAGTGCACTCCTGAGTTCTGTAGACATAGGGGCTTTGATAGCTTTTCAGTGTGAGAAATTAAGTGTCTCACATCAATGTTTCTCTCTCTCTCCCCCCCTTCCTCTCTCTCTCTAAAATCAATAAAATCTTATTTGAAAAAAAACTTAAGGTGTGCCATATTGGGCAGTGCAGACGGAACATTTCTGTCATTGCAGAAAGTTTTATTGGACAGAGTAGATTGTACCTTATGTGCTGGAATTGGAATCCTGAGTGGTTTCGATAAATTAGAGAAGCATTCTGATTAAAGTCATGGGGACTCGCCTGGCCGGGAAGAGAAGCGTCTGGCCTGGAAGAGAAGCGTCTGGCCCTGCAAGTCTAGGGTGTGAAAGGCCCAGCCAGCTTAGCTGCAAAGTGAACATGGGCTGTAGTGAGTCTGATGAGTCGCTGGCCTGACAGTGTGTTGAGAGACGGAGCAGGCCCCGTGGAGGGAGGCTCAGCCTGGCCTGGCCGGAGCCTTGCCAGCGCGCCCTGGCCTGTTTGGCCCCTGCTGCCTGGAGAGAGGAGCTCGAGCTTTACGGGGATTGAAAGAATTAGGATTGCTCAGCTGGCTTTCTCGGGCCAAATTCCGCCTGTACCTGACTGTAGGGATTTGATCTAATCATCTGACGTCCTGACCACATTTGACTGGGTTAAAATTGATGTTCCCTGCAAAGCACATAACCATCCTCCAGGATTTTGTAGGAGAACATTGAGTTTGATCAGAAGACAAATGCTCACATTCTAGATTCCCCACGTGGAAACTGTACTTAACTGCCCTATTCCCTGTTTCCTTGAATGTGAAATAGGATATTAAATTTACTGATTAGGGCAAGTGCCAGGAGACTGTCTAGCATGCAGCTGGCTCTCAGCAGAGGGTAGTCATACTGTGTTGCGCAGTCCAAATCAGCACACAAATGACTTGTGTTTTCCTAGCCCTCAACTGGTAATTAATTTTGAAAGTAAAAGTAAAGGTTTTTGTTATGGAAATTTTCACACAAACTCAACAGTGTAGAGAATACTATGAATGCTCATGAGTCATGGAGTAGTTAAATTATAATACCTACTACTTATTGAGTATTTACTGTGTACCTAGCGTGCTTCGAAAGGTACGTTCCATGCATTAATGCATTTAATCCTCACAGCAGCAATAGGTAGGCACCACTTAGGACCCCATTTTGCAGCTGAAGGTCTTAAGCACAGAAAGTTTAGGGAACTTTGGACTTGCCAGCAAGCATGTGATGGGGTTTAGTCCAACCCAGGCAGCCTGGCTCTGGAGTCCTAGACTTCACCACTCAACTGGGCTCTGGGCAGGCAGGTCCTGTGGTTAGAGTCTGCTGGGTTGGGACCTGGTGAGTGACCGTGTCTGATGATCCCAGCAGAGTGGACTCTGAAAAAGGAGGGAAGGGAGTATTCATTGACCTTTAAAAAAATGTATGTAGTCATTAAGTTTTTTCTTGCTGGTTTTTATATTTCTCATCCCAGAAAGAGTATGTGTAGGATATTTAACATGACTTGGTTTTCCAAGAAGAGAGATCCTGAAACTTTCCCTCCTGGGCCCAAATCTCTGGTTTTGGACTGAATCGAAAGATTTGCCCTAAAATATGACTGGTACAGTAGGACAGGAGTATTATGTATTTTTTTTGTACAGTCTAATACAGTTTTTAGAGTTGTCTTTTTTTCCTGAAAAAAATGTGTTTGTTTAAATTTGGGTTTTTGACCAAATTTAACTGTAGTGCCTTGTATTTTACTATAGAATTGGTTCAAATATCCAAAACTGTCTACTCATTGTTTAGGTTTCTTTTTAAAAATTATTTTTATTTACGTGGTTGGTACTAGAAATCAGACTTAGTGTTCTAAAGAGAATGTTATCAAGACTGGGGCAGGGTTTCTCTCTTTCCTTCTCTTTTTAAAAAACAAAACCAGTTGACTGGCCTCTCCTCCCCTTGTTCTTTCACCCTGTCTCCCTGGCCTGTGCAGCTAGATCTCACTTGCCCTCTGCCTGATTTATTTTGGCAATGCAGTTAAAATGGTTTCTTTTTTCCACAGAAAATGTTTTGATTTCTTCTTAGAAGAATAAGCTTTTGTTCTTCAAAGTTGAATAAATCGAATTGCTTTCAGCCTGCAGACGCCATAGCCTTGTCTTCGTTATCACTGGTCTTCCACTTCTTAAAAGTGACACTCTCTGCCCTGGCTGGGGACTCAGTTGGTTAGAGCGTCGTTTGTGGCACTGAAGGGTCTCGGGTTCGATTCCCCAGTCAGGACGCGTGCTGGAGGCAACCAAATGATGTTTCTCTCACATCGATGTTTCTCTCTCTCTCGCCCTTCCTCTCTCTCAAAAAAACAAACAAACACAAAAAACCCTCTATAAAAACATATCCTCAAGTGAGGATAAAAAAAAAGTTCATATTGATAAGCATGTGCTGAAATTGACTTTATAAAAAATGACACTGTCATAAGCATTCTATACAGCATATTTCTTTTTCCCATTTTATGGTAATAGCTTATTCAAAACATTGATTTAGAAAGTTTACATAACAGTATTTATTATCAAAAAAATTCAAAATAGTAGACATCTCTATTTTAATTTTTTATTGAAACTCTACTATTCTAATTTAAGTAATTTATTTGAGTTTTAAACTTATAGGTTTAAATTTTTATTTTATTTTATTTAAATTGGGGTTGTTACTGGACTTAAATGTCATAATGTATATGGAGAGTTCTTAACTCAGTCCTTGGTATTAGTATTTACTAAATATTCACTATTATTAGTACTTTTTATCCCATTCTTGGTGCTTTAGTTATTTATTAACTGATTCCCCAAGCATCAGCTTTAGGTTCTGTGAATCCCTTTTTTTCCTTATGAACATTAGATCTCTGACTCTTATGACAGCTCAAAATGGAAATTTGCCAGTCCCTTAGGAATTTGGGCTGTTGTCTTGCTTGTGTTAAGAGGACCTTAGAAATAACCGTTCTCTTCATGGAGGTGGAGCCAGAATTGGTTAGAGGGCAATGGAAAGGTTTTGCTGACTTATGTTCCTTTCATTATGAAGATCAGAGGATGGTGGGGAGAACTGGGAAGTTCTCTGCACCTCACTGTGCTGCTCAGCTGGGGCTCGGCTCTGCTGGGCTCTGCCCCTTCTGCCAAAACTGTTCCATAGGTCATGCTCCCTCTCTCCCGAGCGTGGTGGCCTTTGGTGCCTTCATTTTCTCCTCTGACAGTGAGGAGGGACAAGCTTCCCCCTTCCTTTGAGCTCCGTGCCAGGCAGTGTGGCGGAGAGTCCCCAGGGGCCTCCCTGAAGCTCTGTTGCTTTATTTGCTGTTGTGCTTCTTTTGTTAACGCTCCAGGGAAGGAGAGGA